CACTATCATGTTCAAACCAGAGTGCTGTCTTCTCTTCTTTGTCCACATTTCCTTGAACTTAAAAAAAAAAAAAAAAAAAAAAACCACAAAAAAACCCACTGTCCCTGCAAAGCAAGGTGGGGAGGAAATATGCTGCTGCCAATTACACATGCCAAAGAAGGTTTGTTTTCCACGTTAGCTAAAATCAGCAGAGAGCTAACGGCAGGGTGCTCTGTAGAAAAGAGTCTGCCAAAATAAAATGGAATTGAAATTGACTTGGGCAGGATAAATGCTGGTGGCAGGTGCCAGGAAGCAGCAACTTCTGTCAGGGGCAGTGGGAAGTCGAGAGAGTGTGTAAAGCTGTCATTCTTGCATCCACGCCGATCAGAGTTGCCAAGGAAAACTCCTAAGGCTGGTGATGAATAGGTTCAGCTCTTATTTCCTGAATTGGAATATCATGTTGGTGTGACATATTTGACAAGGATGGGCTTCACTCATCGTAAGGATAGTCATTGCCTCAAAAGTAAATGATGGGGCAACTGGGGGAAATTCGGATGGGAGTAGTCCCAGGCAACCTTCACTGACACTTCTATGTCTGGACAGCGAAAATAACAGGGTCCTTGAGAGCTTCTTCAAGCCCTCCTCCACACTCTCTTTCTCACTGGAGTCAAGGAGAACCGAGCAGGGCATCCCATACTGGCTACTGTTTGAGTATACCCTTGTTCAAAATACTTTGGACCCAAGTGTTTCAGGTTTCAGGTTTGGGTTATTTGCATATACCTAATGAGAMACCATGGGTATGGACCCAAGCCTAAACGTGAAGTTCATTTATGTTTCATATATACCTTATGTACATAGGCCAGAGGTGATTTTATAAAATATTTTCAATTATTTCATTCATGAAGCAAAGTTTCTTGATGTGGCATTTTTCTATGGGTAGCATCATATTGGTGCACAGAAGGTTTTGTATTTTGAACAAGTTCAGAATTTGGATTTTGAATTAGGGTTGCTCAGCCTGTATCTTAATTCCATTCTTGTCCCTAGCTCCTTAAATATCATCTTCTAGTAAATAGAGATGCCTTGGAATAGTATGAGGAACAGCTGTATTTATTTCTCTGAAGACTATACTACTAATGTGTGACTTTGCTTTGTCAACTACTTTAACTTTATTGTTTTCACACTGAAAATGATATTGAAATGGAGCTACTGCTGGTGAGTTGAAGACTTCTCTTCTCAATCACCTTCTTTAGTCTAACCTTCACATCGAATCCCCCAAGGCTCAGTCAATCCTACTTTTCTTTTCTTCTGTATTCAAAATGCTAGCCCATAATATTTAAAGTGAAAAACTAAATCTACATATACCAACTTGAATAAATCTTGAAAATATGTTATATGAACAAAGGTTTTGATATACTACTCATTGTATCCTACTTATATGAGTTTTTGAATTTTTGAATTTTTTTAATCACAGTGTTACATATGCACCCAGTAGGTGGAATTGTCAAAGCTGAGGGTAGAATAAAGAGGTTAAAGGAACTGGAAGAAATGCATAGGAATTATTTAAGTTTTTGGGATAGGAGAAGAATGGACCTAGGAGAAATGAAAGCCTCAGCTAAATCACGTGATAAAAAGAGCTGAATCTAATACTTGGTCAATATCCATCCATTCACTCAATCATCAGACCCTACTGAACATCTTATTTGGGCTACTGGAGGATGTGCTTGAAGCTGAAGATAGAACGAACTAAGCTCCATCCTTCCCAGTTACAAGGACCTCCTCACCAGTGAAGATGGCAGATATATTGAAGGTGATGGAAATAGGAAGGGAGAGGGACATAGGTCTCAGGTCCAGGTGATCTTTCTTCTCTTTTAGCTATGTTTGTTGGCCTTCACTATGTTCCAGTTGCTACCTGAGAGGCTCTTACTTGCATAATCCTCATAAACTTTCCCGAAATGAACTGTTTGAACAAATAGTCAAAGAGACAGGGCGCCCTGGCTGAGATCATAATTGGGGTACAGCCGACATACCCCTAACAACGCTTCCCTATCCGCCAGTCAGAACTGTGAAGGGAGCTCAGGCTTGGAGATGCAAGCCATTTAGAGACTGTGGGAAGACCTGTGTTTGGTGCATTTCAGGAAGAAAAACCAAACTCAGCACTTTGGTGACTTGCTTAGGTGGTGGAAGTGCTTACTGACTCTGCCGGGGGCTGCACCTGGTGCCCTGAGGGTCAAGTCACTGTTCAAGGCAGGCGTCCTCAAAGGAGTTTCAGCAACCTTTAAATTATTCAAAAGATGTGGCTGAGTGTAAGGGATGACCCCGTTCCAAAGTGAAATCCTAATTTGATGCCTTTAACATTTTGGCTATTATAATCAGAGTGCTTTTCAAAAGAATCACATCAATGATACATCAGCTGTATAGCAATTGCGAACTTCAGTGGCATAACATGTAGAGAATGGCTCTTTTATCTGTCTAGTTTTTTTTTCCCCCCTTTCTTTTTAAAGAAAATCACCTTTTGAAAAAGCTGTTAAAAGCAAGGAATAGACCAAGTATTGTAAAAGTTGAGTAAGATACAGTTGTAAGATTGTCAATAAAACAATTTAGATAAATATAGCCTTCACTTATTAGCTTCTTTAAAGAAGTAAACATAATTGAGTTAGCTTTTGAAAACTATATTTAATCAAGGTTATAGGGATRTAGCATGATTTTAAAATTTGTCTATGTCTGTCTGTATTACCATGCTTAATGTTTAATTCATGATTATATTTTAAACTTTATGTTGTGTTAGTAAGCAAACAAGTGCCACAAAACAAACATTTTCCTTTTTTTTCTTTTGTTTTCCTTTTTATTCTGTTTTCCATGTCCTATTTCCTCGATCCCCACCACTTCTTCCCTTATAAGTGGACATTTGATCTTGTTTTCCCCCCGCCCCCTTGGGAAATACAAATAGTATGAATAAGATAATTTATTTATGATTTGTATAAATATCATACAACTATAGATTTTACTGGGACAAAGACTGAAGACTAACACATCTAAGTTTTTTTTTAAATAAATGGGGAAACTGATGAAAAATTACCTGCCAAAATATCCAGTACATTCAGGGTAAGTAAGCCAGGGATGGAATGCAGGCATCCTGACTCCTAGTGATAGATTATGTGGCTTCTCCTGTGAGACATTAATAAAATCCTACCCATTTGAAAGAAATCTACTTATTTAGTTAAAATATATTTCCCACAAAAACTTACAGCATTATTAAAGTTTCTGTACAATTCATTTGATTCTTTTGCACCAGGGCGGTAAGAAACAGATGGAATGATTTATGTCTTTTCATATCTAACAAATGATTTTGAAGTCCAAGGTCATGACTGGAGTGCAGAAAAAAAATGGACCTCATGTTATTCCTTAAGGAGCTTAGCATATTTCTGGCTCATAATCTGTGTCTTTGCATCTAATTCCCTCTATTCTAGGACCCCCTGCACATCCTAGTTATCTTTCCTACCTGTCAGCAAACACCTTTTGACTTTTGAATCCCTGGCTTTGGCAGCCTCTGTGGAGGAGCTTTGTGTGACCTCCACAGCTTACATTCTGCCCACTGGTCAGGTCTAGCTGACAGGCTTTAGGGAGCTAGTTGACTCCTATCCAAGACCAGGAGTCTCTCAAGACCTCTCTTCATGTAGCTAACCTGAGGGCCTGCTGAAATGCTGGATTTAGTAAATACTGTATTTCATTCCTGCAAATTTCTTATTATATAACTTCTCCTGTCTTGGATTTAAGTATAAATAAATAAGAGGCTTGAACTATATGATTTTAAATATCTGCTTTGGTTTTTAAATTCTGTAAACTCAGGGAGCAGAGAATTATACAGTTTCCATCTCATAAGACTGTGGTTCATTTCCTGAATAAGTATACAGTCTTTACAAGATAATTATTGATTACAAGATGAATAAATATTCATTGGTTGAAAAAAAAAACAGAAAGTTGTGAAGAAGAAAATAAAAATAGCCATAATCTCATCAGACAAATAAATATGAATCTTCAACTAGGGTGAAAAATTTTCATAGAAACACAACTTTTTGAGTTGAAATAACTTCTTTATCAAATAGTATACAGAATATGGGAATTAGTTGAAAATAATACTTTGCACTGAATATGTGTGCAACAAAATTTCATTTTTTCTAGTTTAGTATTTGTCTTTTTTGTGAATAGCATTAATTTTATGATTTTTTTCATCTGATATGAGTATTTTTTTGTAAGAATGTATTTAATATTTTAATCCTTCCTCCTTTCTTGGGTTAATGAATGTTGTTAATGCTTTAGGTAACGTAACTCTCCCCATTATATTGGGGCATCTTCCATATGTATGAACACTTTTTCCAAAAAAATGATATAATTCCATTTGAAATTCCTTATTCACTTACCAAGTTTGCTATATATTCTTTATTCACTTACCAAACTTGCTAAATATTTAGTGATTCATATATTCCACAGTATGGTTGTACAGGCTGAGCATTTCTAATCTGAAATCCGTAATGCTCCAAAACATAATTTTAAAAAAATCAATAAATTTTTTGCTTAAGGAGTTTCCCATTGTGATTCCTTTGTGTCCATCACAAGGATGCCCTTTTTAAAAGAACTGATGCTTCTCTAGTTGTCCCAACAACCCACCATTCTTTTTCCATTTGAATTATGGAATTCTGATGATTTCACAATTCTCCATCTAGGATATTTGGGATTTAATTTCTTCAAGTAATTAACTTTAGGATCCCAATAGGAGAAAACAGGCAGCTAGAAGCAATGGAAATAAACCCTTATGCTTTGGGAGTAGATGGAACTGCCTGGCTCTTATGTGCTGACACCTTCTCTAAACATCAATGAGTTCACATCATATTCTTCCTATTATCTCACACAGTAGTACAGATATGGGATATGTCAATAAAATAATTAAACAAACACAGTAAGATATATCTTCAACCCAATGCCTTATTTTCTGAAGATAGCCTTTTCATTTATCAATTAGGAATAACATTTTTGCTTGTATGTATCAAAACTCATACTGAACAATGAGTTCTAGGTTCCAAAAGAGGATTTATTTTTTGCACTATTCTCTAAGTCCAAATATATAAAAAAAATTGAGATCTGACATGATGCCATGGCATAAAATTCCATATCTGATCTCATGTAATGGTTACAGACAAAACATAGGTATGCTAAAAATAGGGTATAAAATATCCTTTGGGCTACATGTAAAACATTCCTATAAATGATGTGTTTAGACTTGGTGTCCATTCTCATCATGTATAAATGAATACCCCAAAATTTGAAAAAAAACTGTAAATCTGAAATATTTTGTTCTCAATATTTTGGATCAGGGATCCTCAAACTATATTGTAACTTGTTTGATTAATTTCCATGGATTTGACTATTTTCTGTAAGATAAAACAAGTCACTTTGCTTTAAATATTTCATGGATTTATGTTTCTTTTTTTAAAAAAAATAATACAGGGGGCTGGGATTGTGGTTTAGTGGCAGAGTGCTTGCCTAGCATGTGTGAGGCACTGGGTTCGATTCTCAGCACCACATATGAATAAATAAAATAAAGGTCCAGTGATAACTAAAACTAAAATTTAGTTAATATATAAAATTAATATAACTGATGTCTTGAAATTAAGCAGATTAAAGGAGGTCCATATCTGTTTCCCATAAATGACTATAGAGATCTCTTTACCCGCCAGCAGTGTATAAGACCCACTTCCGTGAATCCTCAATAATATAATATTTACTATATGGATGAGTGAGAAAGCCCAATTCTTTCCTTGTTCTACAATGTTCACATGCTGGCTATTTTATAGATGTTTTATGAACTACATGTTTTGTGTTCTTTGTGTCTGTTTTTCTTTTGGAGTATTCATCTTATTTTTATCCACATGAAAACATTATGTTGGTAATGCTTCATTTTAAAATATTTAGGAACATTTTGGTGAACTTGATAATGTGTATATTGTATTCTGAGGTGCCTAGTAAGTCATGCGATGTTAAGGTTTGAAAAACTGTGGCCACTTGACCAAAAAATAAAAACAAAAAGAAAAGGAAAGAAAGAAAGAAAAGTAAGTAGGTAGGCAGGTAGATAGGAAGGGGAAAAAAAAGATAAGAGAAGGAAATAAAAACACAACTTTGGACACATCCCTTAAGTAATTTGATGGTCGGAGTTAATGGGGATGCATAATTGTGGATGTAACTAGAGTCCTTGAATATAATTGTACTCATAAGTCAAATAAGACAATTCATAACAATTTGGTCCAGCATTTTAATTTTTGTCTGTTAAATTATTCATGCGAATACTTTTATAAGTTTAGCCATGAATATTTGATTGGTGGTGAATTCATAACCATAAACTATCTCAGTCTTTTATTTTTTCTCATTTATACCCAATTAACATATATGAGAAGGTGGAGACAATTTATTCTTTTTAATATATGACATACCTTTCTCCACAGACTTATTGAGGCTGTCTGATGAACATTTACTATGACTGGAAGTCAATATTATGCCTGTTTTGGTATTTTAATAAATGTTCTAATAACAATCCTCACTATCCAGAGGGAAAATATTATAAGTCTCTTTTACAACTGAGGAGATGACATTCAAAGAGGTTAAGTAGTTTTCCAGAAGTTGGAGACTCAGATTGGATTCACATCTAGGTCAATGTGGATAGAACTTCCTTTATCTGTTCATGATGAGTGAGGCCAGTGGAAACATGAACCATCATTCTCTGTTTCTGTCTCCATGCCCATTCCATCATAAGGGCAAATTTGCTGAGTAGATATCCAATAGTTTCTTTCCAATACATGAATAGATATTTACTACCTTTTGCTTGCTGGGCACACTCTCCTATGAGAAGGTGTATACTTTGGCAGACTGCTAGGTGGGCTGAGCTGTATTAGTTCACTTTTCATTCTAAGATCAAAATACCTGAAAAAAAATAGGAGGGAAAGTTTATTTGGCTCATGGTTTCAGAGATTCAGTCCATGGTCTGCTGACTCCATTGCTCTGAGACCATGTGAGGTAGGACCATGTGAGGTGGCAGAAGGGCATGGTGGAGAAACAATTCTCCTCTCATGGTGACCAGAGGCAGAGAAAGAGAGGAAGTGGCTACTGAGAAGATGAACCCTTCTAGGACACACTTCACCCATCTCCTGCAGCCATGGTGCACCTGCCTATAGTCACCGCCCAGTTGGTCCATTCAAACTGGCATGGACTGATTAGATTATGGCTCTCACAACCCAATCATTTGACCTCTGGATATTTCTGCATTAACATAGAAACTTTGGGGGAACATCTCATATCCCAACTATAACAGTGGTCAAGTGTGCGTAGTTAGAGGTCAAAATCAAGAGATGCTACATTAGAGCTAAGTTGTGGGTTGTGCCCTCTAACAGGTGATGACTTTTGTAGTAGTGAGGTATCACAGGACTCACCAGGGAGCTTCCAATTCTTCTTGATTTTGAACAGAATAAGGCATGCTGCTTTATAGGGGAAAACTTCTTAGTCAAAAGGCAGTGAAGACATCACACTGTTATCTCAATAATTACTTTCATAAATCCAGAAAATGGGCAACCCCAAAACATCTCAATTATTTTAACTTGAACCAGATAACTCTCATAATTATCCTAGTAAATCTGAATACATACCATGAATTGGTTGTTATCCAGCATTATAATCCCATAAAAATATCAAGAATGATATACATAAATGAAAGGTTCCCATTTAGCTTAATAATATACCTTTTCTAGCACTAAAATCTCTCTATAAACTGACTTAATAACTGCTTCATAAGAGCTTCATAAGAATCATCATTGATAATTCATTGAATCAGTGGTTCCATAGCCCAGCTGAGCATCAGAATCCCCTGGGAAATTACTAAAAAGCACATTCTTATCTCTAGTCTTTGGAGAATCAAATATTTTAGAAGTGGGGCCTAGAAATCAGCATGCTAAAAGAATTTCCAGTTGAATATGGTATGTATAGCCTGATTTAAAAATCATTCGTTGTAGCTCTGACTTTTATGGAGTGAAGTGAGACTCTGTGTTGTAAAACACAAGTCTAATCAGGTGACTCCTGGGCTCGGGCCTCTTCAGCCAGGTGCAAGGGGCTGTAAAGGTTCTTCATGACTTGGACTCTGATAACCTTTCACCTTCATATCCTGACACTCCCCATGCATCGGTGCCACATTCTGCTCCCTCTCAGTTACTCACAGAATACCCCATGCTTATTCACTTCTGTTTGATCTTGAAACGTACACATTTTCCTGACTGCCTGCAAACTCCTATGGGATTATAAGGATGATCTCACCTACCTGTTTTCAGGGCTGTGCTTGCTTTCTCCTTTTTGCCTTGAATCATGGAAACTTGCCTCCTGGTACTAACTTAAGTTTGCTCACTTGATTCCACTGTGTTGTTACATTTTTATATTAACTGCTCTGCTAGGCATTTTTGAGGACAGAAACCAAAGAGTCTAAGGCCCATTATATAGTTTAGGCCAATGAAGGAATAGGTTCAGATGTGCATTTTTCATCCCCAACTGCTCTCTTGTAACACTGTTACAAATAATTTATGTTTCAAAATGGTGCAGTTTCTTTAAAAGAGAACTATTCAGATATTCTTGTATTAATTGCATTTCACTGTGATGTTTATGGGCAGTATAATCAGTAGGACATCTGTTCTTTCAGAAGACCACTTTTCTTGTGAAATACTCTGAATTAGATTTTCTGGAGTATCTTAGAGGGAATCACTGGGGAAAACCATTGACAGAGCTGATGAGCCCATGAGATGTTGTTTTAAGGTCACAGTCCTGGGTCTGGCTGAAATTTTGCTGCTGATTGCTCATCTTCAACATTTTTTCCCGTGTGTGTGTGTGTGTGTGTGTGTGTGTGTGTGTGTGTGTGTTTTGCTTGGAATCTTTAGCCTCAATTGGAGCATGTGTATATGTGTATAGAATTTGTGTGTGTGTGTGTGTGTGTGTAATCTTCAAGTGGTCCATCTTGAGGGACCCATAGATCAATGGTGCATAACTCACTCTATCCTTTAGTATTTTACTTGTTGGCTTTTATGATCTCTGAAGACTTTTCAGAGTTGCTTGATTCCATACAGGAAAAAAAGGAGGAAGGGACAGGATTGCTGAGATCCAGTGGACTCAGGGAGCTGCAGCTGGAGGAGAGGCCCTGCCTTGAGAGCTGATTAGCTTCTCTCTGAGTGGGAAGGAAGGACGTGGTAGAACTGAGGGAAGGCAGTGATGTGGTTCTCCAAAATTTGACTAGCTCATTATGTATTACCCGGGACTTTCTCAAGAAAGACTTCATCAACAGCAGACAAATAGAATGGTAGAAGGAGGGGAGCTCTAATAAGGAGARAGCCTCCCTGTACCCCCACTCCCCAGGAAACTCAATGTCTGGGAGTTCAAGAACCTCTTGCAATTCTTTTGTCTTTGATTCCTCAGAAACCCCCTAGACCCCAGCCTTTAGGCCAGGCCCTGTCTTCTCTTCCATTTGCCTGTACTCCTTCACCTTCAGGAGCAAGAACAGAGTGAACCCACAGCAGCACTTCACCCTGTGTTTAAAGCTGAAACAGCTGGTATGCTAACTTTCCAGGACATGGGTATGTGAAGGCCTCCTGTTGTCCTTTTGATATAGTAACCTGCTCTTATTTAGGCCCAAGGATAGGCCCAAGGATCACCTAGAGGACAAATGAAGAGAATCATTAGAACCAGGCAGATCATGGGAGCCATGTCCATCCATGTCTGACTCACTGCTAACTTGGTGCCCCTGCAGGTGACTCTCCTGTGAGGACCCCACCTGCATGGACCCTGCATGCACCTATGCGAGGTCACCAGCTGCTTCTCGCACAGGTAGCTGCCCTCCTGAGGAAGAGGCTGCTCCACACACTGAGAGCCTGGAAAAGCACAGTCTCAGACCTGCTGCTGCCTGTCCTTTTTGTGGCCTTGGCCATGGGCCTGTTCATGGTGCAACCTCTGGCCACCGAATACCCTCCCCTCAAACTGACACCTGGCCACTATGAGAGTTTGGAAACTTACTTTTTCAGGTAAGAAACTTTTTTCTTTCAAAATTATGGATACATTGTGAATAAAGACAGACTATGAATAGTGTCATAGACTGAATGTTTGTGTTTCTCCCTAAATTTTTTTTTTTTGTGTGTGTGTAAATTCAACTTTCAACATGATAGTACTTAGAGATGGGTTCTTTGGATGGTGACTAGTTTAGGAGGATGAGCCATTATAAATAGGATTAGTGTCCTTGGAAGGAGACACTAGGAAAGTAGCTTGCATTCTTTCCTCCATATGAGGATACAGTTAAAGAATCCTTAAAACAATTAAATTTGGTAGTTTTTTTTTTTTTTTTTTTTTTTTTTTTTTTTTTTTTTTTTTTTTTTTTTTTTTTTTTTTTTTTTTTTTTTTTTTTTTAAGCAAAGCAAAGCAGAAGTGATTCATGAATTGGGCAGCTCCTGGAACCACAGCAGGTTCTGAGAACTTCAACTAACTACCATCACAAAGCATTTACAGAAAAATGGAAATGAGGCATAGAAAACAACGTACTTTGCTATAGTCTACTAGATCAATCAATTGGTTAAAGCTTGATCAATCAGTTGCAGTGCCTCCTGCAACCAACCAAAGTTCAATTCCTGCAATTGAATTTTATGTTAATTTGGTATGTTGGGCCCAGTGCAGATGCCCAGTCAAAATTCATGGTCACCCAAAATTTTGTTTGACAGTTCTCTGTCATATGAAGAAGATAGTCATTTCTAACTCAGAAAAGGGCCCTGGGGTGAACTCAACCATGCTGGACCCCTGATTTCTCCAGTTTCTAGGACTGTGAGAAATAAACTTTTGTTGTTTAGAAGCTACCTAGCTTATGGTACTTTGCTATATTAACCTGAGCTGACTAAGAAAAATAGCATTAGCTTTGATATTTTTAAGAATCTCAAATAAAAATATTTATATGAGGGGCAGTAGGAGTCATTTGGTGGCAGAAGCCTTGCTTAGCATGTTCAAGTACCTGGCTTTGATCCCCAGCACCACACACACCCAAAATTCTAATGTGAATGCTTTTATTATTTCTGAGGTCAGAGTTCACAGGGATAGCTGTTGAGAAGCCCCTGCTCTTTTTAGGGTTGTGTCAAAGCAGATACCTAGGACTGATGGGGCAGGACTGGCTCCCAACCTCCATATCAATGACTCCTCCCTATATAGACAAGCATCTTTGTAAAAAAAAAAAAAAAAAAAAAGGACATCAGTCACTGACCCCTACTCTAAGCCCTTAGCAGTAAGTAGGAGGGCCAGATATGTTTCAGAATTTTTAGGATTTTAGAAAAATATATAAATTGTACATTTCACAAAATCTTCCATAGTTACTTTAAGAAAAATGACCCATAACAGGACATACCTATCTGCAGGGAACTGTATGACTTCGCAAAATGAGGTCAAGACCATAAATGAGGCTGGGAGTGGTGAAACATGCCTATAATCCCAGTGGCTCAGGAGGATGAGGCAGGAGGACTGTGAGTTTAAAGCCAGCTTCAGCAACTTAGTAAGGCTTTAAGCAACTCAGCAAGACATGAAGCATCTCAGTGAGACCCTGTCTCTAAGTAAAAAAAAAAAAAGACTGTAAACCTCTCCAGGTCAGTATAGGTCAGGGTTTGCTGGCGATAAATTTAGATGAGTCCAAGTTTTGCCATCCAGGTAATTTACACAAGATAGTCTTGGGGCTTTTGGGGTTATAGATTCATAAACATGGGATTAGAAAACAAAAGGGGAACCCTGATCACTGATCACTTCTGCCTCTGTTCAGTTGGCTTCTCCCCAGATTCAGCTGCAGCTCTCTTGTCATAACCCATACTCTCAAGAACTAATCTAGTCCTAAAAGAACAGCAATAATACCTTCTGAGGATGGAGCCCCATGATCCAATTTTCTTCCAATAGGACCCACCTCCTGAAGCTCTCCCCACTGAAACACAGTCAAACCAGTGACCAAGCTCCCAGCATGTGAAACTTGGGGAACACACTCAATTCTCTGAGACAATAACAGTATGCAAGGCACAAATCATACCCTCAGAAAGTCGGCAATCAGTAGAGAGAATAATCTTACAAACATAGGGGAAAATCTTAGAAAAGTCATGAGATGGGTAGATATTTGGTTTGGGGGTTATATCTAAGTTGCAGGAAGAGGTTGGTTTTTTTTATTGGTTGTTCACAACATTACAAAGCTCTTGACATATCATATTTCATACATTAGATTGAAGTGGGTTATGAACTCCCAATTTTTAC